GGTTCACACTCCTGTGAGCATCTAATGCCACCACTGACCTGCTAGGAGGTGGAGCTCAGGTGGTGATGTGAGTGACGCAGAGGGCTGGTAAACACAGACATGAAGCTTCTCTCTGGCTCCCTCCACTCACCTGCTGCGCAGCCTGGTTCCTGACAGGGGGGTGGGGACCCCTGATCCAGTGGAAGCATAGGGAAATAAACCCTGGTGGAGTTTTATTTTTCTTTTGTGTGTGTGTGTGTTTATTCAGTACTAGGGATTGAACTCCAGGCCTTTGCACTGAGCTACATCCCTAGCTCTTTTTTGTTTGTTTCGTTTTGTTTTTCATTTCTCTAAGTCACTAAGTTGCCCAGGCTGGGCTCAAACTTTCAATCCTCCTGCCTCAGCCTCCCAAACTGCTGGGATTACAGGTTTGTGCCACCACACTGGGCTAATTCCTAGTTGAGTTTTATGGGACTTGAGCCTCATGAGGTATAGAGCAAAGAGCACCCATAATCAGCAGCCTCTCCACTGTGCCCAGAATCACTGGGCCTGCTCTGTGGGCAGGACAGGAATCCTGGGACCTTGGTTTGGCCAAAGTAGGAACCCTAGACCCCCAGCTGTTTATCAGACCCTACTCTAAGGGTAAGGACCAGGGAGGGAGGGGAAACGAGGTTCTCTAAAGCCTCCCAAGTCAAAAAGGGAGGGACCAGAATTGTTAGGGCTTGAAGCTTATACATACGTAGGGACTCTTTCAGAAAGCACCTTGGAATTTTTAATTTTACAGTTTTTATAAAACCTCAGGACAGGTGAATGCCTTCCTGAATGCCTCCCAAGGCAATGAAGGTTCCATTCCTTATGCATCTCAGGAAACCCACCCTGTGCAGTAGAGAGAGGCCCTTCTCTCTGCATTTGTGTAGGACTTAAACTCTCAAACTCAAACTTTTCCATAACTAGTTTATTTTCAAACATTGCTGGCATCCTATTTCTGCTAACCTTGGTCTCAATTCTGAATAAAGTTTACTTACATCTTGTAAGTAGTCATTACTTTAAAAATGCAAATATGAGGTATGATTGAAATATGTGGTGATCATCTATCCACAGGTGTGTCTTTCAAGGGTATGATAAAACGTCAGGTGAATGCTGCTGCCAAGTGCCAACCAACAGAAAGCCTGATAAAAGCATGGCAGTGCGTCCTCATCCACCATATTCTCTGGACCTGGCACCATGCAGCTTCTGGCTCTTCCCCAAAGTCAAAACGACCATGAAAGGTAATCATTTTTAATTTATTCCAGTCACTGGGGCAGCCACGACAGCACAAGTACAGACACTCATGAAAGACAATATCCAGACCTGCTTCAGAAAGTGGAATGATGATGGGATAAGTGTGTTTGAGGAGGGGGTGGTAAACCAAGGTAGATTAATAGAAATGTGTCTCTTACTATAAACACATTTTTGAATGTAAACATTCACTGTATACCTCAATCACACTGCATATGTAAAACCCCGTAAGTGACCCAACCATGCGCTGTTTGTTGCCTGGGCACCCTGGCACGTGGGTAGGGTAGCCCTCTGTCTGCCAGCTGCTGCTCCAGTGCAGGCTCTGGGCTACCCACCAGCCTGGGGAACACTCCCAGGGCCACGGAAAGTAGGTGCCACACAAATCCTGATGCCTTCCTCTTCTCTCACTCAGGACCTCACAGCAGTGCCGTGTCCTGGTACATAATGGGGGGAGAGAGGGACAGGCCATGCTACAGGGAGACCCAGCTCAGCCACGTGGACTTGCGGATGTCCCTGTCCTAACAGGATCCAGCGCCGTGTGTACTCAGACAGACACAGGCACTAACCCGGTGCCTCCTCTCTGTGACCTCGGGCAGGGTTGCACAGCCTGTTTCCTCTTTTGAGAAGAGGAAATGACGGCAGACTTTCTAAATGACTAGATGGGAGAAAGGATATGAAGATGCCCTGCACAGAGCCGACGTTCAACAAACTGAGCTCCTTTCCCTCCCCTGAACCTTCCTCGTCCCTGAAAAAGCAGAAAGCTGATGGGAGGTGAGAGGGCCGAGCTGGGCCCTCATCCCTGTACAGACCAAAGTGGAGATCCGGGGCGTCTCCAACCCCCCTGAATCCCAGCCCTGCCTTTTCACCACAGAGGGAACTCAGACTGCCGAAATATCCAGGCTGGCTCCAGCCTGGCCACTCTGACCACACACATGTGCTAATCCTGCCAGAAAGACCAGCTTGTGGTTAGGAAGGGCAGCCATTATGGTTTCCAGAAAATTCCTTTGAGCAGGGAAAAGCTATTTGCCATTCCTGAAGCCTCTCCAGTCTGCACCAATGTGGTTTTCCAATTAAGCTAGGGCTGCTCCCAAATCTCCATTTTAACCAGCTTTCTCTCCTTCCTTTCTAAAGAGGAAGCCTGGGACCACAATTACTCCTTGCTTTTATTTTTCTAATTGACTTCTGGTTATTTCTCCAATTACACAGGTAGTGTGTTCCACCATCCAGGAATACCTTGGGAGGCCTGGTTTAGCCGGGAAGTCAGGGGGACCAAGTCGGAACAATACAAGGAAAGACAGTTGGGAGGAGGATGCCAAGTTCCTCTCTGGATGGGCGGGGAAGACCAACTTTGGAATTCTTCATCTGGCCTCCGCTGGGAATGTCTAAAGGAGAGCTGGACACCCTAGCCAGTCCTCAGGTGTGAGCCTCAGGGTGGACTCAGAGCCCCTCAGGGCAAGGACAGCATAGGGAGCCCAGAGAGGAAAGAGGTGTGGATGAAATATGAAGGAGGGAAACTGAAGACAATGCATCAGAGAAGTCTGGAAAGGAAGACAGAGGAGGACAAGAACCAGCAGAGAGGGAGGCTAATCCTAACCCTAAGAAGACACACAGGACACTGCACCAGTTCTGGGTCTCATCTTGAGGGGGCCACACCCTCCATATCTTCTTTCTTGCGGTGGCCTTTGAAGGATCCTCTTTCCCAGAACCAAGCTCAGGACATGCATGGCCTCTCAGATTTGTGACCTTGGCTGAGCGACCAGTCAAGAGACAATGCCAAATGCCAGTCGTGTGAGTGAGGCATCTTGGGGACTCTGACCTCGTCAACCATGTTTATGACTACAGCCCCAGCCAGAAGACCCTTCTAGCTGACTCTAGACAGCCCACAGAATCCTGAGATAGTAAGGTGGCTATGCATTTAAGCAAAAAATAAAGTCATCGGAGACATCACCATAACAACATGAATGGCTCAGTAGATGTCTTAGTCCATTTTGTGTTGCTGTTACAAAATCCCTGAGGTTATAAAGAAAAGAGATTTATTGAGCACCCCGTTTTGCAGGTCCCATGGCAGGAGCACAGCAAGAGAGAGAGGGATCACACATGGGAGGGAAGCAAGAGGGTAAGCAGAGAAAGCCAAATTCACCTTACAACAATCCACTCTCGAGGTAACCTATCCAGTCGCAAGAGACCTAGTGTACTCCCAACGCATAGGCATTAATCCACAATGATCTAATCGACTCCCACTGGGTCCCACCTCTCAGTAGCATTACACTGGGGACCAACCTCCAGCATCTGAACCTTGCAGGACAAAACATATCCAAGCCATGGCAGTGAGGACGGAGCCCTAACCAAGAGGGCTAAGGCGCGTGCGTGCAGGGAAGAGCAGGAACATGTTCCACTGAGCTGGAACATGAGGCTGGAAGCAAGAGAGGCATAGGGAATCTGTGCTGCCTGACTCTACTTAAAAAGTGTCCTTCTCAGCCAGGTATCAGGTCTTGAGCCTGCCAGGAAAAGCCCACCCACAGCCTCAGCAATCGGATCCCTCAGACCTATCAGCCTGTGTGACCCAGCAGCCTGGCACAGCCTGGGTAGGAGCAGAGTGCTTGGGGCCCAGTTTTAAACCAGCCACCTTCACTCTTGGGTCTGCATTTTCTCCTAACATGGGGTTGAAAAACACCTGGCCAGCCAATTTAACAGGGCATTGCTGGAAAGAAAGAAAATGCAGGATAGAAAAGTGATCAGGGCAAAGTTCCATGTAAGAGACTCTCCCTATTATCATTACCACTCAAAGGAAGGAGAAGGCTGAGCGGTACAACCAGCAGCCAGTCACCCACCTAAATTTATACAGACCGAGTATGCCTAAGTTTCAGATTTGGGAGCATTTTGGACTGGATTTTCAAATTAGGGGACCTCAGCTAGCAAAGTCTATGCAAGTACCCTGAAACCAGAAAAACTGAAATTGGAGACATCTGAGCATTTGGATAAGAGTGATTCACCTGCGCAACACATTTATCTAAAAGAAAACTTAGGAGGATCCAAACTGCCCACAGGGCTTTGACCCTCACCAGCGCCTTCAGGAAACTCCCATCTGGCTGAGATTGTGCTAAGAGCCTGCTGAGCCTCTAGCCCCTTTGAGCACTTCTTGGAGTTGCAGCAGAGCCCAGGCCTGCATATGCAGCCAAGGAAAGCCATCCACAGCCCCTGCTCAAGCAGCCAGCAGCCTCTCTGTCTTAATCACATTTTCCACCACCAACATCTATCACTGAAAATCAGTGCTGCCTCCTGGAGTGATGGAGCGAGCACGAGGAATGGAGCCTAAAAACATCACAGAGTGTAAAAATAAAAATAAAAAACCATTAGCACCCTCATTGCACTGAATGGGCTTCCTGCCCTGGCTGAACTTTCGAGTTCCCCAGCACAGCACAGAAGGGAAGAGGTATACAAAGGGGGAAAATAAATACAAGTCGTATTTCACACAGAGAGAGGGTACAAATGGCCGACCAATGGCACTGCAGCAGGCGTCCTGAAGGCTGCGGCTTTGGGGGCTTTCTGAGCGGTTTCCATGGTTTCCATGCCTTCCTAATCCTCACCCAAACAGCTCTCCTTCCACTCACCTTGTGTCTCCGAGCTGGAGGAGAAAGGACATAAGTGTGACCAATGAATGGGCTGATATCGAGCCAGAGAGAGGAGGGAGAAGGACAAGGATGGGGGCAGGAGAGAGACCAGCCCAGGTCTTCCTCAAGGACAGGTGAGCTGAGTGCCTGCCCGGGGCTTTGAGGGCATTTCTGGGGACCAACCCTGACCAAACTCTGACTCAGAAGAAGTCAGTGGATCAAACAGACTGGATTTAGAGGGGGCGGTGACCGGGCTGCTGGCCATGGCAGTTGGCCTTGCACAGCAAATCATCTGTGAGCACAGAGCCCGGAGTCTGAGGGACCAGAGTCTGCAGCCCCCATGCTCAGGGTCAGCTGCCTGACACCCAGCCTCACCAACCCAATGTCCTTATCTCTAAAAAGATGGGCACGGTTGTTGTGGGTATTGAAAATCCTGTAATGATGGTCCCAGCTTGTGCCTAGAGCACAAGACGACAGTAAATGGTAGCTTTCAAAAACACTCAGCTTTGTGGAAGTACAATGCACTTGTGGTAGAACACCCACTTGAAGGAGACATCTGACGGGCACCAACACATACACGCACATGACTGTGGAACGCCTCTCACAGTCTAAGTAGCAAATGCTCCCAGGATCCCAAAAAGTTCCTCCTGCCTCTTCGAAGCCAGTTCCCCCTACCTGCCCCATCTTGGCCTCAGAGGATGGCTGGTGTTTTCTGTTGCCAAGATCTAGAATGTCATAGGCACAGAAGCCTTTGGGGTCTGGCTTCTTCCCTTTCCCATGTTTTCAAGGCCCATCTGTGTGACTGAAGGCATCAATACCTGGGTCTCATTCCACCACATGCGTCCGACCCTAACCCTAATATCTCACTGTGTTTTGAGTCTGCGCAGAGCTGCCCCTTGCTGACGCTGCTGTTTCCCATTGGGTCTTCTCAATGTGTTCCTGGATCAGACCCAGGAGAGGGGAAGAAAAGGAGGGAAGGGAGGGAAGAGAGCTAAGGAAGGAGCGCCTACCCAACCCAGCCCTGCCACGTGAAACACATGCACCCCGAACTGCTGCACCCCGGGTCCTGGACCCACAGAGAGGCTGTGACCTCCTAGCACGCCTCACCAGCCCCCTTGCCTGATCCTTCACCAAATCTCCTCTTTCTTGGCCTTGGAGCTTCATGAAGAAGGAGGTCTGAGAGCCCCCCCATACGCATCATCCCAGAAAAGTCTAGGCCCCTTCTATTCATTGGTATTTTTTTTCCCTTTCATTCAACAAGAAATTAGTGCATGTCAGCATGTGCCAGGCACGAGCAAGGCCGGGAGGCAGGAAGAGGGGCGGCCCCAGGCTACAGGGACCAGCCAGCCCCATCCCTACCCCCTCTCCTTCTCGCCTGACTCAGCCGACAGCAGGATGGGAATAAAGGGCGCCCCACCAGCGTCCTCCAATTTCCCGCTATTCAGCTCAGACCTGAGTAGCAGCAGGCAGCCGAAAGGATTTGCAGGTATCCTGAGAGCCCTCTCATCCTCCCTTTCTTTCTCTCTCTTTTCATCTGCTTTTTCAAAATGCTCTTAATAGTGGGAAAGTTAGCATGAAAGGAGACAAAATGAGGCTTGGGAAGAATGTCTGGTGCTCAGCAATTTGTTCACCTGGGAGGTTCTTCTTCCTGCCATCTCGCTGCGGGAGGGTCCCCAGCATGTTTGTCTGTCTGTCTCTCTCTCTCTCTCTCTCTCTTTCTCTCTCTCTCTCTCTGCCCAGCAGTGGGAGAGGGGAGTGGCTGGGGGCTGGGAGAAGGGCAAGGTTGGGCTCTGGCCTCCTAGCAACAAGTAGGTCAGGACCATAGGACACTAGGGTCTACCACCACAACCCTGCTGGCATCTGTTGGAGACTCAATAGCCACAGGGAATTTTCTCCCTCCCTGAAGGCAAGAGCCTGAGGTCCACGGTGGCAGGGGATGGTGACTCCCCTGGGGGGCAGCTTCCAGGCCTTGTCCCCCCAGGTCAAGTCATCACTGTTCCTCCCTCTCACCTGCGCTGGCCACATAGAAGAGCAAGTCGGGCCGCTGCTCCAGGCTCTCCGGGGACCCCACCCAGCTCAGCTAAGTGATTCAAGAAACCCCGGCATGCCTTCATCCACGTCCCCTCCCAGCTCTCTCCCAAAACAGCCCTCTTGGCCACCTCCCGCTTCCCACATGGGCAAAGTCAGGACCACACCTGAGAAGGAGCCAATTGGAGAAGACCCACCTTGGACCCTTCCTGGAGGAGAGGCAGTTCCCTGGCTGCCAGCACAAAGGCCAGGGCTGGGCCAACGTGCCTGCAAGGTGAGAGGGCTGGTAGCAGCCACTTTCCTGGGAATCAGGGGGGTGCAAGGGCAGCAAGCCTCGGATCTCTGGAGAGTCTACACAGCTGAGTGGTCAGAGCATGCATCCTGGAGCCAGCCCGCCAGGGTTCAGACCAGATCGAATCCATTAGCTGCATCTTTGTCGTGTGATCGAGACAGCAACTGGACGTACTGAGCACCAACAGCATTGCCTCTGAATCCCTCCACCCGGTTCCGCTCAGACGTACTTAGAACAGTGCCAGGCCCACGGCAGATATGCAGTAAGGACTGCATCCCAGGTTCAGTGCTGTGACTCAGCCAGGCTTTCCTCTGTGTTCCAGGCACAGCAGCTCTGGGCCCCATTAGCAGGACTTGATGCTGGAGAGAGGGTAACTCCCCCCACACCCCTCAGAGAGCTAGGCAGGCCTAGGAGAGGAAATTCCAGGGCCTCTGGCCCAAAGCCCAGGCTCCTCCCTGGAGCAGAGGCCCATGCAGGCTGAAAAGCTAAAGGGGGCTGGGCTGCCTCCCCGGGGTCACCTCCAAACAGGACCCCGCCAGGGGCACCAGCCTCACCAGCAGTGTCTGCTGCCCAGGCTAAAGAGAAGCTCAGGAAGAGGGGCCATCTGCCCGCCAAAAGGTGGTTACAGGGCCCAAAGCTTAACAGTCCAGGAACGAGAGGTGTAGGCCCCGGCAAAGAGCATGTGGGAGCCCCTTGTACCTGCAGGACAAGCAGTTGACATGGTTTTCCCTTCTCCTCCATCAAGAGGCCTGATTTCTTCCTGGAGACTGAAGAGCCTGGGGATACAACCACAGCTCCCCTCCCCCAGAGCCACCTCACACCCACTGGCCTCCCTGCTCCCCGGAGGGCAAGGGCTGCAGGGACCCAGAGCGAGCACGAATGTGGTTTCCTCTCAGCCTCACCCCCCAGAGACTTCCGCTGGGCTGTGGCCAACCTGGGCGGAGATGTCAGCCTCCTCAGGAAGCCTCCTGCTCCGAGGGAGAGAGACAGACAAGCTGACAGTCAGTGGGGCAGGACACAAGGCCACGCCCCTTCCACCGGAGGCAGCAGGTGGGGAGACCCAGGAGAGAAGAGCGGCCGGAGAGGCTGAGGTAGAGGCTACGCGCACTAGAATACGTGTGTGCGTGCGTGTGTGTGTGTTCATGCATTTAGGTTTGCTGTATGCGCAAGTATACGATGTGCAGGTGTACAAATGTGTCCATGTGAGCATGAGTGTGTGGGTGTGCGCAAATGGACGACGAAAGCATATTGGCACAGATGGATGTGTGGTGTGCAAAAACAAACATGTTGCAAAAAGTGCATAGGTGTGTGTCTGCAAAGGCAGTGTGTGCAAGTGTGTGCGGGTGTGCAAATGGATGTGTGTAGGTGTGTGCCGATATACATGTGTGCAACTGCACTCATATTTGCACATATATGTGTGTGAGGGACCTGCAGAAAGGGAGCGGAGCAAAGCTGGGTGGAAAAAGCCCACAGTCACAGCTCTGCCCCCCAGGCCTGCCACACGGCCCCAGCGGGAGTGGAAGGGTCCCTCTTGTTTCCCGGCTCAGTACCTGGCACAGCGGGTATGCAAGGACGACTGATGCCTGTCCAGAAGACCCCTGGTCACAGATGCATCCTTCTCTCAGGATTTGGTCACTGTGCTCTCCCAACTCCAGTGTCCCTCACCTCACTAGCAGAGGCCCTTCCCTCCCCACCTCACTGTCAAGGCCAGCAGGCCCCAACCTCACCAGGAGGGAGCTCGGTGTCCTCCTCCTCCGGGCCAGGTTCACGTCACCCAGGGCCCAGGAACCAGGGGATTTCCTAACAGCTCCTGCGGGAGGGAGGGAGGGTGACGTAAGCTGTTTATCTAGTGCTCAGCCAAAGAACTTTTATCTAAATGTGGAGCCTCTGGGGACAGGCCTAGCTGGCTTATTTCCACCCAGTATCTTGGAACAGTCCAGGCTCCTGCTCCCTTTAGACTTTCTACGCATACGCAATGGCCCTGTGGGAGGATTGGCAGCACTAGATTCCTTCTCAGACTGATTCCCTGGATGGCTGGGGTTCCCAGGTGTCACAACCTGCCTGCAAAGCCCAGCCTGCCTGCAGAGGGGAGAGACCCCACACAACCGGCGGGGCACTGGACTCTGTACCTGGAGCCTTAGGCTGGAACCAGGGCTGAGCTCACTCTGCATTCTCATCCCGGAGGCCAAGGAACGCTCTGGAGATCTCCAAGAAAGGCAGCCTCATGCACTCTGCTACAGGACCCCACATTTAACTGGGAACCTTGGCACTTGGGCAGAGAGGGTCAGAGCTGGGGTCCACCTCCTCTTCTATCCAGTAGCACCTAGTAGCCTCTGTTTCTTCAACTGCATAAAGATGCCCCATTCCACGTGCCTGGCCAGGGACCTGTCCTGGAGCAGTCTTTCCCGCTGCCCTACCAATCTGGGACCGGGGCAACCCTGGCTCCCTCCCCATCCTCTCCTCCTCAAGAGCTCAGGTTCTCTCCCTGTCTTTCCTCTCTCTGACCATCCCATGTCTCGCTCTGGCTCTCCCCACTTCCCAACCTCGATCCCTTCTCCTCGTTCCAGGACCTCTTCCCCCTGACTCCAGGATCCCTGCCCCCACTTGGATCCCTGGCCCCCATACATGGGCCCTTTCCCCCTCACACCTGCATCCCTTGAATCTCCTATCTGGATCCCCTGAAATCCACACCTGGATTCCCTTGCCCCTCATAGTTGGGTCCTTTGCTTCCACCATCTGAATCTCTTGAACTCGACACCTGGATCCCTTGCCTCTCACCCCTAGATCCCCTGGCCCACATTCCTGGATCCCTTTGTCCCCTCCCTCACACACACACCCACGTCCCTTGTCCCCCACACCTGGGTCTCTTGCCTTCCAGGACTTACCTGGGACTGACTGTTCCATCTTTAGGGTGCCAGACAGACATCCTTCTCTCCTGAGTGACATTGCTGCCCGCATCCCTAGGGCAGGTGCCTCTCCTGGGGGTTTGTACTGTGCCCCAAACTTCCTCCACCTCCAGTCAATCTTGGAGGAGAAGAAGTGCCTGATGAATTGCCTGCCTCTCCCTCACCCCCTTGAGCGCAGGCCCTCATGCCAAGCGCATGGCAGATGTTGGTGAAATACACATGGAGGGCTGGGGATGTGGCCCGGGTGGTACCTGTCTGGCATGGGAGAGATCCTGGGCTCTAACCTCAGTAGCACAGAAACATACAGAGCAAGAACAGGAAAGTGATATATCTGGAATGAATAAACTTCCCCAGAGAGAGCAAAACCCCACCTCCAGGACCAGGGCCAACTGAGATATGACTGAGTACCTTCAAAATGGCCGGGAGGAGAAGGCCTGTGGCCCCCACCCTGCCCCCAGGCTGCAGCTCCTGTCCTCCAGTCCCTGCCACCTCAGCCAGCCACTCACACCCCAAAGCAGCCCCCGGCTCACAGCTCTGCCACAGTGTAATTTGGTTCCTCAGCTGTTGCCATGGAGACCAGCCAGCAGTCAGCTCCATGCCCTCCCACTGCAGGGCCCAGGCAGAGCAAAGGTGCAGCCAGCTATGCTCAGAGAGACACCCCCCCCAAGCAGGGGGGAACATGTGGCTCTGCACCCACATAATCCAGGGCTGGTCCCCACCTACACTCCTCTCATCCCATAGCTGGTGACTCGAGGCCAGCTACTTCACCTCCCCAGGCCTCCTGGGACCGCAACTTTCAGCGGGATGAAATGACCCCATGTAAGGCGTGAGACTGTCACTATGTCACTTGCTGACATAGTGTTGACCTCTGGGTTAGCTTCCTGGGAACTGCTGTAAGGGGTTTTGTCCCCAACCTTTGTGTCCAATTTCCTCCATTCCACCCCATCTAAGATGGCCTGGAGGAAGGAAGGGAGAGAGTGATTTCATGTGACATCTGAAAACAAAGAAGACGCTACAGGGCCGCTAATCAAATGTCGAGTGGGGCCTGGCTCTGTGGCCCCTGATGGTGGCTGTTACCTGGCCACTTCCTGTAAGAAACTAATCCACCATGGTGGGGGCAAGCCTGCAGGTGAAGGGTCTAGGTGAACTCATGTATGCAGGGCAGTGGCTGGGTCTTACTGGGTTGGGGCAAGGGTCCTATCTCCTTATGCCTCAAGTGGCTGTTTCTGGGGATGGCTAAACACCCCCAGGACCACTGGGTTCCTGGGACAGGAGCACGTCAGGATGCTATCACCTGCCCTAGGCACCAAGAAGTCAGCTCCACCTCTCCACTGCCAGCCCAGATCCTGGTGGCACTGACCACCTGAGTCTCAAGTAGGCCTGGGCCCTGATCAAAACACACACACACCCCCTCTTCTCCCAAGCACCTCACCCCAGCTGTCAGGCGGGGGAGCTTGGCTGTGTTGCAGTTAGAGAACCTGTGACTTATAAGCTAGTCAGCTATAATAGTGATGCTGCATAACAAGCATTTCCAGAAATCCTAGACTTGGAACAACAGTGATAGGCTTTCTTTCCTCTCTGTGGGTACAGGTCAGCAGCCACTTGGCTCTGGAAGCAGCTGCAGATGTGTGGCCACACCAGCACCAGGGGACCCTATTCTGCATCTATGCTGGGCTGGAAGACTGCAAAACCACTTGGCAGAAGACATAAATGAGAAATCCTGTACCAAGTAAGGATGAAAAGAAGAATTGGAAACAAGTATGCAATCGGCCACCAACTATCGAATGGAAGCAATAAAAAAGAACTCAACCAGGGCCGGGGATTTAGCCCAATGGTTCTGCCGCCTGCCTTGCAAGTGCAAGGATCCAAGTTCGATCCCTGGTACCAAAAAAAAATTGTTTGTGCAAAAAGAACTCAACCCTACCCATGCTCATGCCTACACACTCTCGCACACCTTCCCTCTCTCTCCCTCAGAGGGACTCAGTTCCAAGGTGTGAATACACCAAGTCTGCCCTCCTCAGGGCTGCCGTGCATGTCAGATGAGAAGATGCAGGGATGGTGCCTGCAGACGTGAACACACTCCACGCATGTGGATGAAGTATCACTTGACCCCAATTCTTCTCTCAGGGAGAAGGAAGCTCCTGCTGGGTCCTGAAGCTTCTTAGTTTTCTAGTTAGTTTCCTTTTGTTCCTCTCCAAAGCTCTGCTTACCCAGGAGAATAATGTCAACACTTATGATGCCATTTTAATCATCCCAGGGGCATTGATCATTATTATGAATCCCAAAATAGCTGAGCTATTCATGTTTGACAGTGCGATCATGCAGGGCTATACATCATGGAACCTTCAATGGAGGATATGCCTTGGTTTTCCATGCACCTTCTCATCTGTCGTCTCACAGAGAGGAGGTATTCTCCCGATTATAGGGGTCCAAAACCAGGGGCCAAGGTGGGTCTGATCACTCACCAGCTGGAGGACTGTGCTGGAAGGATGGGCGCAGGTCCCTTCTCTGTTTCAGCATGAGATTTGCACACTGAGGGAAGTGTACGGCACCCCCCCACACACACACACACACACACACTGTGGGCTCCATCTTTTCTCCCTAGCATTGAGGTTTAAGGTTCCCACCTCCTTCCCAGCCCTGTTTCCTGGTCCCACCACCTCCTCCCCTGGGTCTTGCTCAACAATGACCTTTTGGCATCTCTGCCTCTCCCTCTGCACAGCTTCCACCTTGCCTCCCTGACAGGTGTGTTCATGCCCCGACCACATACCACCTGCTCCAGACGGACGCCCTCTCTGTTGCCCTCCCTGGCTCAGATGCTCCTGAAAGCAGAGTCCGGGATCCAGGCCTAGGGACAGGCACAAACTTAAGTATCTACATGGGTTGAATTGTGTCCTCCCCAAGGCTATGCTCAAGGTCTAACCTCTCATTCCTGTGGATGGATCTTACTTAGGAAGAGGACCAAGTCCAGAGGAGCTCCCATAGTGCTTCAGTGGGCTCTAACCCACTGATGGACTTCCTTAAAAGAAGGAAGATTTGGACCCAGAAACACTTCGGGAGACCACAAAGGCCTCATATTGGAGTAATGTATCTATAAGCCCAAGCATAAAAAGGATTGCCAGCATCACCTGGAAGCCAGTAGAGAGGTCTGGCCCTGACTCTCCCAAGAGCCTTCGGAGGGAACCACCCCTGCCAACACCTTGACTTTGGACTTTACCCTCCAGAACTGGGAGAGAATTCGAATGTCATTTTAAGCGACTCTTGTCTGTTGGGATTTGTTGCTGCAGCCACAAAGCCCAAACACAGTGTCCACCTCCTTAGGGCTTCTACACTCTCCTAAAAGAAGTGAGGCTGTGGTCACCTGCATCCAGTTCTTTTGCATGCATTGTTACAAGGACAGCTGTGGCCCTGTGGAGCCAGCCCAAATCCCAGCCCTCTGAGGGCAGGCGCCTTGTGTCCGAAACAGGAGCACCTCAACAACCAAGCACTGATGTCAGCACCCAGGTTCCAGCACTCAGCATCATAATCAGAAGAGACCAACACCTTGCTGGGCACGCTGACCGGACTCCACCAATGCTATTTCCCAGCCTGCAGACCACTCTGCCTGTCTCAGATCACAGCCACTAATGGGGTAGGGTGAGCGTCTACATCCATCCTGCACACAGCAGGGGCTTAGTGTCCCTCCTGCCCTTCCCAATGGGGAAGCAGGGACAGGGACAGACGGTGCTCCCAGGAACACTGCTAACCAAGACATAGCCTCATCACTGTGTGTCCCACTTGCCTGTCCCCTCTGCTCCAGAAGAAACCTCCTCACTCCTCACCAAGCCTTCCGCTGCCCTTCCGGTTACCTGCTGCCCCTTAACTCCATCCAGAGAGCCCATTTCATACATTCATTCATTCAACAAGCCCATGCTGGGCACTCAGGCTGCGCCTGACACCACACTACTCCCAGGGAGCCCTTGATGACAAAGACACTGTTCCTGGCACAACTCTAAGAAAGAGACATGGGCCTTGGAGTGATGGGAGAAACCCAAAACCATGCCCATGTCCCCACAAGCTTCCAGCCCACCTCTTCCCCTGCCACCCCCCAGAGAGCTCTGTCCGTCCAAGTCCCAAAATACACATTGGCACATATTGCTGGGGACATCATTTTACTTAAAAATGGGAGGGGGAGCTGGGTAAAATGTTGCGTATCTGAAGTCCCAGCTACTTGGGAAGCTGAGATGGGGGATTGCAAGTTAAAAGTCAGCCTGGGCATCTTAGCAAGACCCCTGCCTCAAGATAAAATTTTAACAGGGCTAGGGTGGAAGCTCAGTGCTAGAGCACTTGCCTGAGATGCTCAAGGCCCAAGGCCCCGAGTTCAATGCCCAGCACCGGGGTGTGTGTGTGTGTGTGTGTGTGTGTGTTAGGGAGGGGGTTAATTTAAATCATTCAATCAGTAAGCAATCCAAAACATTAACTGTCCTACTAACGTATGCAAAACTATATTTTGGGGCAGATGCAAGTCTCCTGAATTTTTAAGACAAGCCTTCCCTGTTCACAAGCTCCAGTTCACTTCTGTCTGCAATCCCAGAACTCCCGGGCCCTGTTCCGCTCTCTCCTGCTTCCAGTCACCCAGCCACAACATGCAGGACCCTCTCCTGGGCCTCATCGCAGGCCCAGTCTCCTCCTCAGAAAGCCTCCTGGAAGGCAGGGCCAGAGCTGCCCAGGGTTTCCCGGGAAGGGGTCGAGGGCACTCGCCATAGCAGCAGCGGTAGAACATAGCTATCAGTCACTAGTCTCCCCCGGCTCTGTCAAGCCAGGAAACCTCCTGTAGGTGCCACACAAATACAATTAACCTTTAGGAAGTCGGGGTGCCAGCCTGGGAGGGAGAACTCCCCTCAAGAAACCCCACCTTCTCAACCCTCTTGGACTCCGGGCACAGAGAGGAAAAAGTTTAAAGCAAGCAGGATGCACCCACTCCATCCATCATCCTGACACGGCTCTAACCTCCAGGAATCCAGGGGACTCCAAGAAGAACAAAGGCCAACCAAGACGCCAGCGTGAGCCACCAAGTCCAGCCACGGTGACTTCCCCGGGGGACTTCTGCCACCGCACCCCCTGCCCACAGGGGCTTTCCTGGCCAAAGAGGCAAGCAGAAAGAGGGTTCCCCACAGCCCTGAACCTTTCCTCTCCCACGTCCACCCAACAAAATCACTGAGCAGCTACCATGTTCCAGGCATGACGCTAGGTACCAAAGATAAAAGGAGAAATGAGAGTTTCTGACCCCAGGGGACTCATGGGAGGAGGAAGGGAACCCACCTGCAAGAAGTTATTTTCATAGTATGAAAACGAAGTCTAGGTTGGGCAGGACTATGGAGCACCAGTGGCTGGTAAGGTGACGGTCTGAGACAGGTCTCAGCAGAGGTGACATTTGACCTGGGTCTTGCAGCATGAGTAGGAGTTCTCCCAGCAGACAAAGGGAACCCAGATGGACTGGCTAGGACATGGTGGCTAAGGCTGGGGTTCTAGTCACCCAGGAGGGTCGGTAGGATGCTGTACGTGCTTGGATGGTGGACATGCTCACTGCCTTCAGCTGATGCTCAGGCCCTGCCCTCCTCTGGGGTGTGGGTGGAGGGTCAGGCTGGTCATCTGGGTCATCCAGGCAAGAGCTCTCCCCTCACCCTGTGCTCCAGCTTCCTGCCTTCCTGTTGTCCTCCACTAGCCATCCTGCCGCTCCATCGGTCTCTGGAGAAACCAACCCTGCAACACAGCAGAGGGCTGGGCAAGGCGGTAACTTAGAGGTCAGTGGTCAGTGCAGAAATAAAAAGCTCCCACCAACGGGAACAATGAGCCAGCTCCGGTTTCACAATAAACACTCATCTGCTTCCAACAGCCCCTCCCGAGAAGGGCAGGTGGCCCAGGCCTCCCACGGAGCCGCTTCCAATTCTGAGTCCTCCCCATCCCCATGGTCCCTGAACCCCATCACCGCACACCCAGGACGGGGCTGCAGGGTGGAGAGGACAGGTCCTAGAGAAGGCCTCAGGTCAGGTTAGGGAACCCAGGGGCAGAGTTGCCCACAAAGCTACAGGACTGCTAAAACAGTGCCTGCAGATGCCGCCCGGGTCCCTAGGTGGGTGCACCAGCAAAGGAGCACTGAGAAGCTCCCAAAACCAGGCCCGAAGCTGGGTGCTGTGATGCATGACTATAATCCCACCACGGTAGGAGGCTGAGGCAGGAGGATCACACGTTCAAACCCAGACTGGGCAACTTAGCAACTTAGACCTTGTTTCTCAATTTAAAAAAAGAAGAAAATGCTGAGGATGTAGCTCAGTGCATTCGATCCCCAGAACCAGGGAGCTACTGGGGAGACACAAACATGCAAGCAGATGCAATCCCTCTAGTTTGCTTGTGCCCCTGGAGCCCCCGCCCCTGCTCAGTTCAAGGGGCTGAGTCATCTGGGGGCTCACGAAATTGGGGTAACAGCAGATCTCACCTCATCTTCTGTCTCTCCTTTCCAGATCCCTGGCTGAGAACCTCAAGGTTGAAGATAAATTCATTTGCCTTCAGGTGCTTGAGCTGATCCATTAATTACAGCTGACTTGGACCGGCTCTCTGTAAACAGGGTGCGCCTCTGGTTGAGTACTAACCCCGTATCAGCCTCAAGTGGCTGTTGGATTGCACTGCTCATTTGTGTGCTATGACAGAGCTTCATTGCCAGTGATTTGTTAAATCAAACACCGTGGTATTTCCTTTGCTTGTTTTGACCTGCCTGGCGGTCTTCATTTACAGATTACAGGCAGAAGCATTCTGTCCTCTGGTCTTCTAATGTGCCACCACATGTGACAATGGCTTGCCAATTCCAGTCCCTGTGGGGAGGGCTTGTCCCCATGACAATGTGCAGGTGAGCAGGCTTTCCCCTCTCTCCTCCTCCTCAGGGACAGAGGCTGCAGGCCAGAGGAGTCTCTGGTAGGAAGGGATCAGGTGGAGCCCCTCCAGGTGAGCCCAGGAGGTCCCCTGGGAACTGAGTGGTCTAGAGAAAGCAGGACAGGACGGTCCTAAGGGTCAGGGGGAGTCAGGTAGACCCTTCCTGGTGGCCCTGAGCCAGGGTTTCCCAGGAACTAGGTAGACTCTAAAGTAGTCTCACCTTAGGCAGTTTGAAGTAGCAAACTGGTCACCTGGACATTGGAAAGCAAACCAAGAGGAAATCTGGAAATACCTGAGGACAAGTAGAAGGGCCACAGGGGAACAGGACACAAAGCAGACCACAGAGTGGCATAAGACAAGGAAAGCCCTTCGTGTGACAAGTACAGGTGTGGCATCCATGAGGCCACCATAGGAAGGAGCCCTGTAGGACTGAGCCAGTTGTGTATGAGGGGGATCCAGGCAAGGTCGTCACCCAGGGGGGCTGGGGCTGGAGCCAGAGGGTGCTAAGTGGGGCAGGACATCCACAAGGCCTCAGGGAGCCACCCTGGAGCTTGGCCATCTCTGAACGACACTGGGTTTTAAAGATTCCCTCCCACCACCAGTCATAGCCCTCCTAACCTGGCACAGGCCCACCCCGGTGGCTCATTGCCACACTCACCTGTGAGAACCAGTGGTGACCAGCATGAGCCTGGGTCCCTTGGGGTCAGTTCTCCCTCAGGCACTAGGGACCAGACTGTCTCCCAAGCTGGCCTGAGCCTCAGTTTCTTCATATGTAAATGTGCCATAGCAAGGATTAATGGCCATCTCATGACAGGTTTAAAAACAATGTATTTGTAGGGCCGGGGATTTAGCTCAGTGGTTTCGCGGCCTGCTGCGCAAGCACAAGGACCCGAGTTCAATCCCCGGTACCAAAAAAAACCAATGTATTTGTAAAATGCTCAGCACAAGCAAGAGGTAAATGCTCAGAACAGGTCTTGTCTTCTCATCATTTGCGTTGCTGGTGACCTCCACCTTCCACACACAGGTACCTTTTCGGCACATGAGGCAGAGCAACGTTCAGAGGTCCGGGATGGTGGCTGACTCGGCTCCAGGGGGCCTGAGGGGAGAGGTGAAGGCGATTCCACCCAGCCTGGAAACTCCCCGACTCTCAGCCTTCCCACTGGGAGAGGCATCAGTGTCTGTCCCCTCCGACCATTCCGGAGTACACGGGGCCTAGATGCGGGGTTGGGTGAGCACCGCTGGCAGCACTGAATTTCAGGGGAGGCTCCACTTCCTTCCCAGAGAAACGAAAGCTCAGGGCTGTCTGGGTGTCCCTGCAGCCTTTGCCCACAGCTTAAGTTCTGACACCTCACCTCTGAGGGCGGCCAGGCAGGGCCACAGGGGGCCTTCCAGGTCCTTCCACCCGTTCTCTGGGGCTGCACACACCCAGCAGGGCGGCCCCTCCCCACCCCACCGTCACCCACCTGCAGCTCCCCGTGCCCCCCCCAGCACCTCAGCAGATGGCATTCTGAGTCCCACCACGGCTCCATCCCCGCTCCCAGCCCATTCAGGGTCCAAGGCCAGACTTGGTGGCCTTCATTACAGACTATAACACAAAAACACAATAAAATAAAATGAATGTTTTCTCTGTGAAAATCCATTAGATGAGTTACTGTTGTAATTTAATAATGGGATGGGAAACTACAGCAAATTACCGAAGTATATAATTAAAGTAAATCATCTTAAAGTCCTTTATTGCTCAGTGTTCCTCAGATCTCATCTGTTCGTCTCTGCTCCCCTTGTCCTGAGCATGAGGCAGGGGTGTGAGTCGAGACACTGCACCCCAATCTTCCCTCTTTCTGAGGGAGGACAATGCTTGTCTCCTTCCAGCCTGGGCCCCTCCTGGGACACAGGAGGAAGAACACTGCTGCTGCTGCTGCTGCTGCAGAGCTGGTCCCCCCTCCACCACATCCCTGAAGGGTGCCGGTACATCTCAGACCCAAATGCTGAGCTGACCAAAGCCAGAAGTGGCTGATGACGGGGAAAAGGAAGTCTCTGCCTTAGAACATCCTTCACAAAGGACAGATGCCACAGACGACCAGACTTCAGAAAAGCCACCCATTCCAAAATGGTGTTGTGATTAAGGGGCAGCAGGAATCTCAGGCTCAGAGAGCTTCCGAATGTGCCAGGATCACACAGCAAAAGGTGGCAGAGCTGAGATTTGATCCCAAGCACGTGTCACAGTGCCAGGTATCTCTACCAGCTGCCTGCGTCTGGGGTTCCTCCCTGCCGGGTGTCAGACCCCTGGGTGTAACAAGCTGCTGCTGGTTCCAAAGAGAAAGGAACA